AGTGCTGCACTCTAATCAGTGGTTCTCAACCTGTGGATTGCAGCCCCTTTTGGAGGGCTGAATGACCCTTTCACAGCGGTCGACTAAGACTCTCGGAAAACACAGATATTTACATTACGAATCCTAACAGTAGCGAAATCGCAGTGCTGAAGCAGCAGTGGAGATAATTGTCTGGTTGGGGTCCCCACACCATGAGGAACTGTATTAAAGGGCTGCCGCATTAGAAGGTTGAGAAGCACTGCGTTAGAGCATTCCCTCAGCATGTGTGTTGCTGTGGTCCTCAGCGCTGTTCTAGAAGACCTGAAGTCTGTACATTAAGTTAACTGGTCTCCTCCTTCCACACCCTCCCTGGGGGACCCACTCAAATCCATTATGTGCGAACAACAGAGATTGAAGCCCTTGAGTTAGGAGCCTGTTGGCATTGCGGCACCTCTCTAAGCCGGGAGTTCTGCAGGTAGACCTTTATATAATCTTCATGTGCTTCTGTAGCCATGCTTGCTTCCTCCACGAACCTAGCACATGCACAAAGCTTTGTTTTGTCTCAAGGCCTGGTGCATACCAAACATGCACTCATTCTAGCAACCCCCAGCACCTGCACATGAAAAGAATTTTCTTAATGTGTTAGGGTGCTATGCAAAAGGGAAATGATTTTGTGTCATGGATCCTGGATCAAGTGTTAAGTAGATAAATTAAAGCAATCTCTATGACTCAAGGTCAAGATTATACAATTTAAGGATTGTGATATACTGCATTTAATGATGCCTTTTGATTCTGCTCCGATTTTATTGGGCTGCCCTTTGACACATCTGATCTTATCAGTAGGCTTTTTGTTCGTTCTTCTGAAACCCTCCTTGTTCCTAGGCTATCAGTAGTATGTCTTCTTAAAACAGTGGTTCTTAATTCTTCTTTAGTCATAAGTTTAGGGAAAAAACAGCGTAGATTTGGACTGTCTACAGGAGTAAAGTACTCAAACACATGCAGAAACCACGGCTGGTTGTTCAGGTGGGTCAGTGCTGCATGTGTAAGCTGCTTCTGTACCTGCCTCCGTTGGACAAACAGGATACCAGTAGTTTGGGTTTTCAGTTTTGTTATTTATTAAGAGGCGCTATTTATTGTCTGAGAGCAGCCATGAGGCACAAGAAAACCCACTATATTAAGGGAAGGGAATAGAAAGGGTAGGCCTATGGAATGACCATGCAGAAAGAGAGAGAAGGAATAGGTGGAACCTGCTTTTTATAGGTCGTCGTCCTTGTCCGTCCTTCCCGTGGCCCCCTGTGCATATGGGCTTACGTAGTTACACCACGCATGTGTATAGATTATGTAGGACGTAAGGCCCTAGGATGACTAGGCATCTTGCCTGGCTACTGGACAGTGCATGCTCGGTCATGAGCTGGGGGAGTGGCTAGGAATTCTAACAAGTTTCTTCACCTTTATAAGGTCAGAAAGCCTGATCGTTACCCATTAGATTGGTCTTACTGACAAATGAATCTACTAGCCCCCAGAGACACTTACCAAGAACTGTACCCCCTTCCAGGGAGGCCAATTTCATGTTAATTTAATTTTGAAGATTAAGAAGTTATTATGGTCAAGTAAGAAGTTAATAGTTGTTGAGTTTGCTTTGTAGTTAGTGTTCTTAGGTTTTGGTTGGTTTGGGTTTTTTTTGTTGTTGTTTTCATAATAATCTAGCCAAAAGGTATTTTTTTATGTCAGTGTATTAGCCAGTATTTCCTGGGAGGGCTTTCAAAAATTGGCAGTTATTGGTTTAGTGAATATGTTGTCATTTTAGAACTAAAATTTAGGTTTCATGAGATTCTCACATGTTTTTTATTGTTGTGCCTTAACTTGACCAAAAGTTCATTTTTTTAAGTAGTTTCGTGAAATGAGAAAATTGTTTGTGAATTCTACAATAAGAGAAAATATCAGAATATATATATTTTTAACCAGATTTTCTCCTAAACTTGAGAATGTTTTCATATTCAGATTTCCTCTGGTGAGTACATTCAGATGTCTGGCCGTGCTGGAAGGAGGGGAATGGATGACCGAGGAATTGTAATTCTTATGGTAGATGAAAAGATGAGCCCAACAGTTGGAAAACAACTACTTAAGGTAAGACTCTGTTCTTTCTCCAGGATTCTAGGCTAGACTTTGTCTAGATGAGTTGATACTCTGTGACTCTCTGGGCTTAGGAAGGTAGAAGAACTTTACCGTTTATATTGTTCCATCTGATAGGCAGAGCAGTTAGCAACTCAGGCAGTGGAAATAGTGGGTGTGCAGATGGCCAGAAAGGGCGGATTTAGGAAGCTCTGTACCTGCCTCCTCTGTTGGTCAGTGCTCTAATCATGAGAACACGAGGTAGGGTACCTGATACCAGTACTTCAGGTTGTCTGCTGCTTTACCTTTGTGAGGGTAAAAAGCCCCAAACATTGAATCAGTACTTTGCCTTTGGCTCGGCCTCTTTAATTACAAATATCCTAATCATAAACCTACGTTTTTCAACTGTATTGCAGAATAGCCTTTCCTTGTACCTTAATTTCCTTCTTTTTTTTTTATAACGATTCATCTTTTGTGTGGGAGGGCAGTGTGCCATAGCTCACTTGTGGAGGTCAGAGGATAGCCTGCAGGCGTCAGTCTCTTACACCATGTGGATTCTAGGGATTGAAATTAGTCTTCAGGCGTGGCGGCAAACACCTTTACCAGCTGAGCCATCTAGCTGGCATTCATTGTGAGTTTTGGTTAGTCTGGGATTTTCGTTTGTTTTGTTTTAGGCAGGGTCTCATGAAGTCTAGGTCACCCTCAGACTTGCTATGGAGCTCTTAAGCTGGCTTGAAACTCTTCCTGATCCTCTTGTCTAAGGACTAGATTACAGGTGTGTGTCACCACAGCTGGGCTTTAAAGGTCTTCTTAAGGAAGTTGGCTCTGGTGGCTTTCCTTCTTCACTTAGATGTTATGAAAGCCCTTAGGAAATAGAAAATGTAACATCAATTAAAAACACAGTATTAACTGCCAGCTCATTAGCTTCTGGGGGGAAGGAGTTAAAGGTGTGTACCACCACCACCCAGAGCTCATTAGCTTCTTTAACTGAAGCTTTAGCATGTTTTGATTGATTTGTGTCTGTGTCTATGAAATATGCTGTTTACCTTTTAACACTTAGGAACTATTTGAAGAATTTGAAATAGGGTATACTATAGCAAAAATAGATAAAAGTGTATATATATATTCTGCATTTTCATGTGAGTGATGTTAAAGTTCATCTATATGTATTTATAGTCATATGCAGAGCAAGCAACAATATGGTAGATGGTAGCAGCACTTTTTAAAAGTAGTTTTTATTATTTGATTAATTTATACATTATAAAATGTGTCTTGATCATATCTGCATCCAACTGGTAGTTGAATTGTCCTCCTAACTTAGCCTTCTGGGTGCTAGGACTATAGACATTTGTCACTCTGTGAGCATTTGGTATCTAGTTTTCAGTGTCGATGACCAATACTCGTGAAACTATTTATTTTCTTCAAAGGTGTGTGTGTGCTTGTGTGTAGGCTTGCATGCTTGTGTGTGCACTACCTCTTTGCAAGTACCTGAAGCCAGAAGAGGCTGGATTTCCTGGAAAGGGAGTTCCTGGTGGGTAAGAGCCATCCAGTGTGGGTGCTGGGAACTGAGCTTTCTCTTCACCACTGAGCTGTCTCTCCAGCCCTGGAGGACTGTTTATAAACAGCCACAAAAATTATGCAAAACTGAAGCTTCAAACTCTACCAGACAGATACATTTAAAATAACTTGTTTCTCTGTCATTTTTCATCTATTTCAAGGGGGAGAAAATACAACATTTGGTGTGAGGTGTGTGATTGATTTCAGTATCTGAATGTAGGAAATTTACTTCTCATATCTTATTGCTGAACAAAGTCATGAATCAAAATGGAATTATATTTAGGAATATTTAGTTGGCAGCAAAAGAAATTGAACCCAGGATATTTAGGATGGTAACCATAGTAACCCAAACATGGTTTGACGAACTGTTTAATAAGAATGATAGCAGTGGTGAGCAAAAATATTAATCTAAAGTATACTGAAAACAGCATCTACAGTAGTTGATTTAAAAGAAGGAATAAAGCAGAAGAAATAACTTGTAAATTATAATGTCGGTTGCTGTCCTTGCTCTGTGATCTGACAAGTTAGTCAGAATAAATGGTATCACCATATTTTTTATCCAGATTAGAAAAGAAGTGGTTGTATTTATCAATGTGCTAGGGAAGTTATAAGGGCTTTGCCATTGGATATGGGATGCCATTTTAGGTGTCAAGGCCCTGAGCATTCAGATGAGCTAGAATAAAGATTTGCTGTTTATTTAAGTCCAGATTTCATAGAAAAGGTAATAAGAGGGCGAAAAACCCAGAAAATTAAAGGCAGGATCTATTTGTAGAATTTCAAAGTAGCTGAAATTGTCTTAAATTTCATTCTTTTCCATAAATCTAGGTTCCTGTTAACTCTACCTGTTTGAGATCTTCTTTTTAAAGTAAATAGAATCAGAGTTTTAGAAACATTGTGACTGGTACTCTAGTGCAGGTCTCTCTTAGCTTTTTTTTTTAATGTGGGAACACTTCATTCAAAACTTGAGTAAAACTACTACTCCTCTTCAGAGATTTGTCTCCACACATTTAAAATGCTGAAGTCCCAGCACTTAAGCACCCATACAGCATTTCTTGAGTTTGTCATGCCACTGAGAGCCGTGTGGCAGAAGTAGCAGCACCTGGGTTTCAGGATGTGTTTTCTAGGAGTTCATCTTTTTAAAAACTCGCCACTATTTTATAAGAGTTTAAGAGAACAATGCTCACTCTTGATGTTACATGAAGAGAGATGTGGAAAGAGTCATGCCTTTTAAGTTAGGCATGGACTAGAAATAGAGAGCACTTACCAAGAAAGGAAAAGCACTCCAAGAATGGAACTGGGTGAATGAGCTGAGGAAAGAATCCAAAAAAAAAAAAAAAAAAAAAAAAATGATGTTTCTTTCGTATGGCTATGCAACTGCTTTCCCACTTGCAAAGTATTTTATAAAGAAAAAGATACTTCTCAAGAGCCACTGTTAGAAACTGTGAGCTTAGATGTTGAGGCAATATTTTGGATAAAAAACTTTGGTGCAAGCTAACAGTTTTCTACAGTAAAAATGTACAACAAAATAGTGCCTAGTTATCCTGTCTCTTCTTTGGTACCAGCCACATTTGGAGGTGTAAAAGAATTACCAAAATATAGAGAAAGACCTATAACGTGGGAAATATGTCAGCAGCTCTTCTGTCACAGATTTCCAGTACACTCTTTTTCTCCAGATACTGCTCTGAAATATTAGTACATTTTGTTATTATATGCCCGGTTATGCTGCAGCCACTCATCTCAGCCTTAGTAACCTAAGGTGCAGGTCTCTGACCTGCTCCATGCTCGTCACAGGTTGTTAGAACAGACTCCACTAAGCATCCTTAAAGAGCCAGCCAGATGGAGCATGAGCATGGACCGTCACTGTGCCAGAAGGAGAATATAGCTTTTCCTACCAGCAGTTAAACACATGGTCAGAAAGTGACACGTCATTTTCCGCCACATTCATTGATCCTACCTGCTGGGAGACCAAAAAGACAATCCTGCTTTGTGCCTGGAAGGAGAGAGCTAAGCATATTTTGCGTATAGTTTTTGAACCACTATATCCCCTGCTGATTTTAGTCACCCTTGACTTATGAAGAGATTAAACATTTTATCACTTTGCTTCGGTGCACCCCCCCCCCCAAAAAAAAGAGCTTATATATTTCTGTATTTGTTAGTGTAGGATAAATTATTAAGCATATTACAAGTCTTATATAAATTTATTTCGGAAATGTGCACAATTGTCCTGCTTTTTCTTGAAGGGCTCAGCTGACCCTCTGAATAGTGCTTTCCATCTGACCTATAACATGGTTTTGAACTTACTACGAGTAGAAGAGATTAACCCCGAGTACATGCTGGAAAAGTCCTTCTATCAGTTCCAGCATTACAGAGCAATCCCAGGAGTGGTGGAGAGTAAGTATGGAATTTCCTCGTTTAACTGGACCTGACTGCCTTAGTGGTTGTTTTGATCACTTTTCTTTCTAGCACAGCAAATCCTGGCCATTAAGATAAAGAATGTAGAATTGTATTCTGGGTTTATAGACTGGAATATTCAAAATAAACGTAGGCAATTCTGACAAGATACTTTTTTCTAGTTAGATCAACCACAGTGTAATTTACGATTTTAATATATATCTCATTCAAATTCATGTCCTTGAATAATGTAACAAAAAGCTCACTATACAATTTGCTATCTAAAATGAATATATTAGTCTTGACAGCACACAAGAAGTGCTCTAACAGGCTGGGGAGAGGGCTCAGTCAGTAGAGTGCCTGCTGTACACGCATGGGGACTTGAATTTGGGTCCTAGCATGCATGGCTTTGGTTAGTTTGTTTTTTAATTACGTGTGGTGGCACGTAATTAAACTAGATGGAATAAGAAGAAGGTGGATCCTAACGTTCACTGGCCGGCCAGTCTAGCTAGTTGGGAAACTCCATTCATTAAGAATCTGTGTCTTAAAAGATAAAGTAGAGAGCAATAGAGGAAAACACATCAGCCCCTGGCTTTGAAACACATGCACACATTTGCATGTGCATCCCTACACACACACACACACACACACACACACACACACACACACACACGGTATGCACACACAAAAAGAATGCTATAACCTTGTGAATGATTAAGAAACTTCAGTATTTTAACTTGGGTTTGAATTGAGCAGTTTGAAAATATCTAATTCTT